CCTGCTGTCATGCCCAGAGCTCCTGGCTCAGTCATTGTGTGGTTGCCATCCAGTGTCAAGTGCTCAGCATGGGTTTCAGCCACTTGAAGCCAACACACTTTAACTGTGGAAGGGAAGCTGATCTCCAAAAAGCCTGCCTTTCTTTTTGGACCTCAGTTTCCCCTGTGAAGTTGTGGGTGGCCTTGCTGCACGCTCTCTAAAGGACCTGGTGGTTAGAGATGCCCATCTGAATGGGAAGACGGGATATCTTGCTTCTGACACCTCAGTAGCAGCATTGGCTCCCAATCCTGACCAGGCCCAGGACTTCTCCAGGAAACCAGGAGTAATAAAGAGCAGTGGAGGTAGGGGTAGGGACAGTACACTAGGCCTAGGTATCACTTTGGTTAATAGAAACCATGGGATGGGACTCACTGCAGCATGGTGCTGGGCTCCCTCTGAGTGGCCTACTCACAGGTGATCCCTACTGATGGTTGGATGGGAATGAGCTAGCCTGACCTATGGTCATGTTCACACTCCATCAGATTCCCACAGTGTGCTCTTTAAAAATTTTTTGATTTATTTGTTTTTATTTTATGTGTATGAATGTTTGACTTGCATGCATGCAAGTGCACTGTGTGTGCAGTGCCAGCAGAGGCCAGAAGAGGGTGTCAAATCCCCTGGAACTGGAGTTACAGACAATTGTTAGTCACCGTGTAGATGCTAGGAACTAAACCTGGTTTTCTGCAAGAGCAGCCAGTGCTCTTAACTGATGAGCCATCTCTCCAGCTCCCTGCCCCCCACAACCCCACCCCAGTGTGCCCTTTTGTCAAGCCATCTCTCCTTTCCAGCCCACTTGTACAGTGGACCTGTGAAAATCTTTCCCTCATGGAACTGCTGAGAAGGGAGTATGATGTGGGTAGTGGCCTCAGACAGCTCTGCCTGAGCCTCTGTTGGACACTGCTAGGGCCCTGGGAGGTCTGACCATTCTCCTCACATCACACTGAGGCCCTGATACCCAGAGAGGCCTGGCTGTTTACTTGAGAATGCATAGCTAGGAACTGGTAGAGTGACAATTGAATGCCATCACTTGGCTCCAGAGTGGCCTGTCTGAGAAAATAACTGTGAGAAGTGACAGGAGAGAGGCCAGCAGGACTCAGTGACAGCTAGGAGCAAGGGTCTTCGGGCAGGATCAGGTGCTAGCATGGATGGTGTTGGAGGGCAGAGTGTTGGGTGTATGCAAAGGGAATGAGGTGGGAAGAAAAGTGGTTCATTCCGGGAATTGTGAGGGGGAAGGTAGCGCAAGTGGGAGGAAATGGGGGTAGGATTCCATCCATGTCTGTGGGCACCTCGGTGGTGGAACCCCAGGGCAGTGGCTGAATCCCTTTCAGTCTCAGCTTCTTCACTTCCTGCTTGGGGGAGCTGCAATGAGGTTGAACAAGATAAATAGATGCCCTGCAGTGGGTTGGTCTGCACAAGGAGCCCTGTGATCCTGGCAGGCTTGTGGTTTGCTCATGGTAGCTGAGAGCCTCTGTTTGTTGTGGTGACAGTCACCACCTTGGGCCATACCTGGGTAGCCCCAGGCTGCCTGGCCATCTGGACCCAACCCTGACACTGACATTGGATAGTGGCAGCAGTGACTGATGGCTTAAGGTCTGTTTCTGGACTGTCTCCATGGTAGCCTTGCCCACTCTCTCTGACAGCTGGCATGGCTGCCCCATGTAGCTTAGGTCACTCTGGATAGAGGCCAGTGTCCCTACAGGGTAGGTGACTGCTCAACCTGGGAACGTAAGTGAACCTCACTACCTTACCCAACTATAGGTTGTAGACATGCTCTTGACAGAAGGGGAAATTGAGGCCTAGTGGAGGGCACATCTTACAACACTCCCTTCCCCTGATCCACTGCAAGAGACACGGGAGAACAGAAAGCAGAAATGATGTGGGCAGGTGCCACCATGAGCCCAGTATAGGCAGATCTGCCAGGACTAGGAGTGAGGCCATGAGGCTAGAAGCAGAACTTTTTATTATATTACACTTCATATTGTGATTAAAAAGAGCTTCACATCAGGGGTAAAAACTAGATAGTGCAGGCCTGTTATCCCAGCTGCAGAAGACCAAGGCAAGAGAAACAAAAGTTCAGCACTTTCTTCATATGCACAAAGCCCTGGGTTCAATATCCAGTCCCCCCAAAAATAAACAATAGCAACAATAAGACTGCCTACAATTCTCATTATTTACTATGGACTTAAAAAAATCTTTTTACATTTATTTATTTATTTATTTATTTATTTATTTGTTGTGTGTGTGTGGTGTGTGCATGCACATGTGCACACACACACATGCATGTGGAGGTCAGAGGACAACTTGTAGGAGTTGGTTCTCTCCTTTCACCATATGGGTCTTGAGGATTGAATTCAGGTCATCAGGCTTGATGGCAAGTGTCCTTACCTGCTGAACTACCTCACTAGCCCTATAGTGGACTTTTTTCATCTCTTGGGAGAGGCTGATGTAATCACGGTGACCACTTATAGGCCATTACCCAGACTACCTTCTGGGTTCCATGCTCTGTGCTAACGAGCAGAGAGGTGGCCTGCACACATGCTGGCCTAGCTTCAGCCATAGCATATGTAGTCAGAGATGGTACCTGACCTAGACTTGGACTCAGAGTCTGAGCAGAAGGCCCTGGGAAACCCCAGTGCCCAGACTGCTATCTGCTGTGAATGTCATGAGTTTCCAGTCCTGTCCACTCAACAGAGGGAGCATTTCCCACAAGGGTGTGCAGTGAGCCCAGCTGGCCCTATAGGGTCTTTTGGTCAGCATTTTCAAGAATCACTCCAGTGGCCAGATGACCCAGTCCTTACTGCCTGGGTTGCACTCCAAGCTCCAAGTCTGCGTGTGTGGCTTAGGCTTGATCTGCCAGAACCTGGTTCAGACATGGTTTCAGGGACTGGGGCCTTCCGGACAGGTGATGGCAGGCATGGACAGTTTCTGATGGTTGGACTAGTAGCCAGAGTGAACTGGCAACAGTGTGTGGTGGTAGGTTTCAGGAAGCAGAGGAAGCTTCTGTAAGGCTCGGGCATATTGTTAGTGCCTTTCTGCTCTGCATGGTATTGAAGAGACATGTTGAGTCCTAGATGCCACCCTATAGGAATGTGGTGTTTTAGCTAAGTTGCTGCCCTCCTCAGAAGAATGGAGTCTATCATCAGTGACTAAGGTGCTCCTGACCTCTGGCCCTCACTTTTCTGCCTAAAAGGTAGAGGCTAGGCCATCTTTCAGACATGGCCTTAACTTGGAACGGCTCCCCTGCCATGTCCTGTGTACCTTAGCCAGTCCTTGTGTTCTGTAAAATGGAGATCCTTCCTAGTTCCAGCTTAGCATGGGTATCCATTCATATTTCATCTGTCAGCCTACTCCTTGTCCCCAGGAGATAGGGCTGCCTTGGGTTCTGGCTGGCCCTGCAGTGGGGAAGGAGAGAGCTTCTGAGGTGACCTCAGGAAGAACTTCACAGTGGTAGGAGTGAGCCAGGCACTGGCCTCTGAAGTAGCAGGCCCCACCTCATGAGCCCTGGAATGGCACTTGGGCTGCACCCTTCCCTGACCATAGGCAGCACTTAGAACTCACCCTGTGTTACACCATTACTTCACAGATGACAGTTGAGGTCCATGTGCCCTTAGAAAGTGCATGGCCCATGGAGCCAGTGGCCCATGGAGCCAAAAGCCATGGTTGCTTTTCCTGGGCCTCCAGGTCCTGATCTGGAGGTACAGCTGGGGCCTCTGGAGAAGGCTGGGTTTTGGGAAGTACCATGCATCCTGAGCTGCAGGGTGGGTCTCACTCTCTGCTCCTGCTTTTCCCTGGAGTTTTCTCCCCTTGTGGGAGTCAGTATCCCTGCTACATGAAGAAGCTGAGGCTGAGAGAGTTAGGCTTGCTGCAGCAGTGAGGGAGATGGAGATCCTGGGGCAGGCCCATGCAGATTGCTCATCAGGCCAAATCCTCAGGCCCCCCATTGGGTTTCTACATTCTAGAGTGACTCTTGGGGAAACAGGCTCAGAGAATGGATGTTCAGTGGGCTGGGACCTGAATAGAGCTCAGTCCGCCTCAGGTACTCCCCCACCAAGGTTGACCCTAGTAGAGGAAGGAACTGTGTGGCAAGACCTTTCATCACAGAGCCTCACAGACTAGTCAGCAGGAGTCTGAGAGGGCAGGCAATCTCCAACAGGCTGTGCAGGAGGGCTCTGCTTGTCTTTCCATCCAGGTCTTCCCTTGGCTCTGAGGTGGCACCTCCTGTGTCTCCATTTGGCTTCCTTTTCTGCCTCCCGATTTTCTGTTATAAGGACAGCACTTGGGCTGGGTTATAGTTCCGTAGTAGGGTATTTACCTGGCATGCATAAGGCTCTAGGTTTCATCTCCACTGTGGACACACACACACACACACACACACACACACACACACACACATCAGTCATGTCACTCATGTCACCCCGGATTAGGACCAACTCTAATGACCTCATTTTAATTCAACTGCCTCTGTAAAAAATTAATCTCCAAATAAGGTCACATTCTTGGGTCCTAGGGGTCAAGACTTCAGTATATGAATTTTGAGACATAGCTCAGCCCATAACAGCCTATAACCTAAAACATAAGTTTTGGTGGGGTTGGTAGTGCTGGCCTGGCAGACCTTATCCTATCCGCAGCAGTAAGAGGCCTGGACATTCATGCACAGCTAGGCACTTGAGTGTGTGTGTCCTACAGGCACAGCTGTCTGGTGCCTCCTAGCTACAGGGCAGTTCCCAGGAGGATGGGGCTTGGCTTGCCATTGAGAGGGGAACAGTCTTGAGTCTGGCCCTCAGCTGTAGTGGGAACATACTCTGCACAACTGAAGGCCCCAGGCTCCTTGGGCATTTATGTCTCAGGGGAGGGCAGCAAGGGCAAGGGGCCTTAGTCACCTCTGTCCTCAGTTTTGCTTAGCCCAGGAGATTTTGATGGACTGAGAGTTAATCATACTTCATGTCTTTTTTCCATTTTAGGAAAATCCAAAAGGAAAAAGGATTTACGGATATCCTGTGTGACCAAGCCACCTGTGTCCAATCCCACGTGAGTCTACGTCAGTTTCTCACCCTGCTCAACTTGGAGAGGTCTCTGAAGGGGGCCAGGAAAGTGAGCAAGCACTGGGAAGGGCTATTTCTTCTCATTCTGTCTGGGCAGCAGTGGGCCAGGAAGCTCTGGTGGATACTGTTGAGCATTGCCTGTCTGTTCCATGCCTTCCCAGTCTGTCTTGGGGGCTCTGTCAGGGCCACCTGACAGCAGGGTCACACACTTAGTAGATGTTCAATAATCAGTGAAATGAGGTGGCTCTGGGAGCTGCCCCATGGCCAGGGTTTGTCTTATCCTCATGCCTTCTGCTGCTCCTTCTCCCAGAGAGGCTTATGGGACTGCTTTCTTCACAGACCACCCCGGAACCTAGACTCCCGGACTTTCATCACCATTGGAGACCGAGTAAGTGGTGACTGAACCCTGAGAGTTCTCCTGCTTCATCCCCTAGGGCCATTGGGAGGTGGCTGTGGGTGATATCCCTGACCTGCTGTCGATGGCTCTGTGCTGCTTGTCCTTAGACCTCCTATCTGGAAGGGGTATATTCCACCTGCTTTGTAGGGCTGTGGGAGGCCCAGAGCTGCCTCACTGTCTGACCTTGGAGTATGGCCCATGAGTCCCCATCTCTGCATCACCTGGGAACAGTATGTGGAACATGCAGGCTCCTGGGTCCCTAGAGTTCGGGTCAGACCCTATGTTGTTCATACTTCCAAGTGCCTTGGAAGATGACCTGCTGTTGAGAAGCCTTGTTTGGGGACACATACCAGTGCAGAACATGCTGGAAGCCCCTCCTTGGCAGATCTTACCTCGCCACCCCGTGTCACTGTCTGGTGTCTTGTTAGTCTGTTTATTCTGCCTCTTGGGGGAGAGGAATCCCAAGGTTCAGTAGATGAGTAACTAATGTCTCCCTCTACTGGGGTGTGTTAAAGAGGAAAAGGCTCCTCTTAAGGTCTCCCAGTATTTGATTTTATACCTATAGAAATCAGTGGCAGGCTCAGAGTGGCTAAGTGATTTCCACAAGGGCACACATTACAGAGTGGAACACAGAACCTAGCACACACCAGGGTCAAGCTCAAATCTGACAAGCTTATCCTCTGCTCTTTTTGCTGGGAAGGGACAAAGATCAGTTCTTGACTTGTGATGCCTATCAATTCCCTCTCCTTTCTGTCCCTCAAGAACTTTGAGGTGGAAGCTGATGACTTGGTGACTATCTCAGAGCTGGGCCGTGGAGCCTACGGGGTGGTGGAGAAAGTGAGACATGCTCAGAGCGGCACTATCATGGCTGTAAAGGTAAGTTGAGCCCACCTTACCTGGAAAAGCCTAGGCCTGGAGCAGCAGGAGGGCTGCCTGGAAGAGGGCTGCCTGAGGAGGAATGGGTTGTCAGTTGACTGCCCTCCCTGTGATCCTATTCCCTCACTGTCTCCCATCATCATCAGTAATGAGGCTAATGAGGCAGAGCTCAGACCAGGCCAGGCCCTGGATTCCCCAAGGCTCCTGGCCCTTATGAACTAGGTAAGGGCTGTGGGTCTGTGCATGGCCTTGACCCGAAGCTTTCCTGCAGCGCATCCGGGCCACTGTGAACTCACAAGAGCAGAAGCGACTGCTTATGGACCTAGACATCAACATGCGCACAGTTGACTGTTTCTACACTGTCACCTTCTATGGTGCCCTCTTCAGAGAGGTAGGCCCTTCCCAGTTCTTGCCAGCCACTACTGCTATCCCACCTCTTGTGTGTAATTGCTGAGGCCTTGGGATGTAGGGAAGCTGGCCTACCACCTCCCTACCACTTGAGACAGCACAGCTGGGCTCTTGAGAGGCAGGCTTGGGAGCTGGGCTTCCCTGTTCCTCCCAACTCTGTGCCTCAGTTTCCTTGTGTGACTATGAGGCTGATGTCAGAGCAAGTCTCCTCAGCTGTGGTCAGGGGCATGGCCTGGGACCTGGCACTCAGTGACAACCCTGCTCCCAATAGTCTAGCCTCTGTTTGTCTGTGTGGCCATTTACTTTCTGCTAGCACCTGGGTAGGCATGTGGGCTGGGCCTCCGAGAGGGGAGCACTGTGGAGGGGTGAGGATCTGGGTTAGATTCTGGATGGGGAAGGACTGGCTGTATGTTGGGGTAGAGGAATGGAGGGTGAGTCAAGGTCTAAGGTCTACGATCAAAAGCACAGAGCTGCCTCCTGAGCTGACTGGAGGCATGTGATATTGGGGGAAATGTGAGGTGAGCCCATAGTCATGTTGGAGCAGGGGTCTCCCATGGCGACCTACCATCTTGGTGGAGCTACTGAGTGATCCTCGATGTGTCTCTGCCTGGCTTCCTTTGGGAGACCCCCTCCTAAGTCCCAATGGTGGCTCAGTACCTCACTCTCATACATATGATTTGGTGAGCTGAGCACCCTACCAACTGTGACCCAAACCTGAACTCAGGAAGGCCTGAAGTGAGCCTCCCCACAGGTCATCCTAAGACCATGCAGGTATGCTGGGGAGTAGGTCAGGTCATTTGCCAGTGAGGGAATTTGGTTCTCATCTCACTGTGTCCTGACTTGAAAGTCCCAGGTTAGGGGACACATAGGTTTCTGCTTTCCTGGAAACACTATGGTACTAGAGCCCATGTGGAGGAGGCTAGGGTGCAGACTTTGGTAGGTGGCATGGACTGGATGGAGAGAAGCCAGAAAGGTGAAGCTCATAGACAGTATGAGGAGCTTGGGAACATCTGAGGGTGGTGGAGACATCATCATCCCTTCCTAGGTAGAGGCTGGACCTGATGCTCAGAGGCTAGAATTGGGAGCAGGGCCAGGGAAGCCACTGGATACCTATAGGCTGTCCAGGCTTGGGCAGTCTTGACCCAGCTAAGCACTGGGTATCCTCTGCAGGGAGATGTGTGGATCTGTATGGAGCTCATGGATACATCCCTGGACAAGTTCTACCGGAAAGTGCTGGATAAGAACATGACAATTCCGGAGGACATCCTGGGAGAGATTGCTGTGTCTGTGAGTGGTCTAGGCCTACCCAGCATGTTCAGAGCCTACTGTGTGACTAAGTCTTGGCAGAGCAACTGCCTTCTGAAGGCTCAGCACTTCTGCCTCAGAGCAGCACCTTTTTACTGAAGAGGCCTCAGGGCTGGGCTTCTCAGGCTTGACAGATTCCTGCCCTAGGCCTGCAAGTGCAGCTCTCAAGTTCCTGATCACTTTGTAAAAAGGAGCTTAGTATTTATCACTGCCTCACCCCATGGCAGATCTTGGAGGTGCAAGCTGTGTTGGGGAAATGTTTGCTTTCTGAGTTTGATGTTTCTGGAGTAGGGCAGCAACTTTGGGTTTGAACATTGTTGTAGTCAAAGGAAAAGGGGGTAGAATCTGGGATATGCCCTTTAATCCTGTCTGCATCTGGAAGCATTTAAACCATTCCATGCCTCAGCCTCCCCTCCTGTCTAGTCTCTAGAAGTGGCTCTACTGAGGGAGGGAGAGAAACCTGGAGGCCTGGTAGGTCTAGGTGATGATCCTTGGGAGGCACAGCCTGGGATTTGTGGCAGTCTTGGACAGGTCATTAACTTGGGGGGTGAGAGAAAGGAAAGAGGCCAATAAATCTATTCCAAGACAGCCAGGATGATGGGCATATCTGGGGTGTGGGCAGGAGCTGGGTGACAGGTAGAGGGATTGTATAGAGGGAATGGGGTCTTACTGCTCTGTCATGATTATCGTCACCTGGAATAATATCAATCCTGCCTCTCCTGTCCCCACCCAGATCGTGCGGGCCCTGGAGCACCTGCATAGCAAGCTGTCTGTAATCCACAGAGGTCAGTGTCCCTCATCAGTCACTGAGACTGTAGGCTGAGGCTCAGGGAGGGACAGACTGTGATATGCCTGTTGGGGCTTGGGCCACTTTCTATCCTTGAGCTCTTGGGCCTGCTGTGCTTGGAAGTAGGAACTGACTGGATCCCCTTTTGTACTGGTCTCCACTGGCTAGTTCTTGTTTGGATGTACAATTTACATGTTGTGAAACATCCAGGATATGGCAGGCATGTCACAGTAGGAGTCCAATACAAACTTTCCCCACAGAACTCTCCTGAACTTTCTCTGGGATCCTGTTACCCATGTAACCAGGGGCTGTGCTTATTAAGGTTAGCCTACCACTCTCATATCCCAGGATTCACTGGGTAGCATGTCCTTGTAGTTTGCTCCTGTTCACCATGGAAGACCAGCCCACTTAATCAGTTGTACTGCTTTTAGAAAATGGAGACTAAGTTGTCTTTGATACTCAGTGCCCATTCTAGCCCTGTCTTCACGTCAACATGGTTGCCATGTGGCACGGAGCCTTCTTGTCCTTTTCTGTGTATTTTTGTCCTTGTATATCCCCATATGCCTTTGGCTGGAGGTTCCTGCCTGCTGGCCCCCCACTGTAAGACAGAAGGACTCCTCATCTGCATGCACAGACCTATCCCCATGCTTTAACCACCTCACTGCTCACCCACTGCCTTCTTCTTGCTGGATCTTGTTTGCACAGCAGGGTGGCGGACATGAGTAGTCCCTGGGTAGTGTCTCCAGAGCCCTGTTGTCCCTCTTCAGTAGGGCCAGGCTGAAGCACATCTTGACTTGCCCTTGACAGCTGTGTGACTGGGTCCTGATGTTGCATGTCTCACTGTCTTTGTTCCCTTGTCCAGTGCTTGGAGCATTTGGTAGCCTGCTGCTGGCTCTTGGCCACTGAGGAGCCACACAGCACTACAGACCAGGCTGAGAAAAGCATGTTCTATCTACAGATGTAAAGCCATCCAATGTCCTCATCAACAAGGAGGGCCATGTAAAGATGTGCGACTTTGGCATCAGTGGCTACCTGGTAGACTCAGTGGCAAAGACAATGGATGCTGGCTGCAAGCCCTACATGGCTGTGAGTGGGGTGCCCAGTCTAGTCAGGATTCTGCCTCTGTGTGGTGGGCAGGGCTTCCCCAACTGCACTTCCTGCCATAGGAGCCCTGCCACCACTTACCTATACTCCAAGAGCCCTATTTGGATGAGCTTGTAGTCTATAGAAAAGCCTGTGACTCAATAGGAACGCAGTGTTCCTTAACGCCCCCGCCGCCGCCCAGGGAACTGGTTAGAAGACAGGGATTGGCTCTGGCCTTTGCTGACCTCTGTCCCATGGGCAGGGACCTGATGGTACTTTGTTTTGGGGTGGAAGAGGAAAGGTCTTGGGGAGTCTTGGGTGGTTTAGGTGTTCATGCCCTCTAATACTTCTTGCAGCCCGAGAGGATCAACCCTGAGCTGAATCAGAAGGGCTACAATGTCAAGTCTGATGTCTGGAGCCTCGGCATCACCATGGTACCAACTGGGGCTGGGCCCAGTGCTTGCTGGTCTGATGGGGTGGGATGGGACTGTGATGGGCTGTGAGACAGTTTATGTTCTAGAAGATAGTGTTGGTTTAGTGTCCAAGAAGAAAGTCCACCATTGGACATTCTGGATAAGAGGGTATCTGAGAGTGATAGGATCTCTTTCCTGGTGGCTCAGTTTACCCATCATAAATATTCTCTATATTTTGTAATGTCAGCCTTTTCCCCAGAGCCAGCTGTAGATCAAGAAATCCCAGCCAGTCCAGAGTTTAACTCCTACTATGCAAGTCATTTCCAAATCAAGAAGGTAGAAATCATGACTGGGCATGATGAATTACTCCTGTAATCCAGTTGCTTGGAAGGTAGAGACAGGAGGATTGGGAGTTCAAGGTTATCCCCAGCTTCATAGTGAATTTGAGGCCAGTCTGGCCTACATGAGACCCTATCTCAATACTCCCCCAACCCCCTACCCCCAAATCATGAGTTTTTCACAGTTAGAGCCTGTTACTGTGGGTTCTTGTACTTCCCCAGGCTCAGTAGGTGAGGCTGTTGAGTCTTGGCTTGTGGAGGTTGAAAGGGTCCCTGGCTTCCAAGGGAGGAGCAGGGACTAGCCCTTTGGGTTTGAGCTGGACCAGACACATCCAAGTCCAGGTGTAGGAATGGATCTCTGCCTCTTAGAACTGCATGGCAGAGAGCTTTAATTTGCCCACCTCCAAGCCCTTATCCCCCAACCAAGGGAGAGGTGAAAAATATCAGGGTTTATTTATGCTCTGAGTTCAAACTTCCATTTCAGAAGGCACCTGTGTGGAAGCATGGATTGGAGGGACAGTAGAGTCACCAGGCTGTGTCACTGTCCTGTGGGAGACAAAGGCACGGGGTTGGAGCATTGCATCATAGTGGCTGCTAATGTGTCTGGGTCAGTCCAGTAGACTCAGTTGGCCAGAGTAGCTGTCAGTCTCCAAAACTAATAGAGTATGTTCTGGGGGTTAGCACTTTTTTTTTTGCCCTGGGAACACCTGGATTCCCTACCTGCCTTAGCCCTTAGGAAAGTTAGTGATGGAAGTAGTCAGACAGAATCAGACTAGATCCTCTGGGCTCCAGCTGGGCATCCTATATTCTGGTTCTGATATGATGTCTCCACATTCAACACAGACCCCTTGGAGAGGGCTCAGAGCCCCAAGACTGCCACCTTCATAGTCTAAGCCCTAGGCTTCCTGTACTGTTGACTGAGCCCACTGTAAATCAGGGATTTCTACAACCCTTTCTCAGCTTATCATTTGCTAGGAGGGCTCACAGAACTCAGGGAAGCATTGCAGCAGGTGGAAGGTTTAGGTATGAGGCTGTGCCTCTATCTAGCACCTCCCAGGGTTCAGCTGTCTGAGCTCATGGGGTGTTCTAGTAAAGTCTCTAGTCTATTCTTTAGGAAGCTCATCAATTCTCATCTTCTGAAAGCAAAGAATTCAATCAAGAGACACAGTTTAAGCAGAAGTTTATTAAGCAAAGCAAGCACTACATACAAAGCTTGGAGTAGGCTCTCCTTAAGTGGGGAGCAGAACAATGGATTCTGTGTTGTGGCTTTTAAAGTTTTTATAGGTGTTTGTGAGGTGAGTGGAATAATTGTGGAGTAGGATGACCCATTTTTTTTCTTCCAAATCATGGTGAATTGGCTCTCCCTTTTAGGGTCCCATTGTCCTCTAGAGAAGCCCACAAGGGAGTGCCAAAACCATGTGAATGATGTGAAAGTGAGATTAGGTCTTTGAAGATGTAGACCCTTCTGTACTGCACAAATGCAGGAAGTTTAGTTTTTGATATAATGAGAACAGCCCATCTGCAGTGTCAAGGAAATTTAACACAAAGGGGCATTGTGCACAGGAGACACAGCTGCTGGGGTACAGCTGCACTTCTTGGTTACCTCGTCTAGCTTTTTTGAGATTGCTTAAGGTCCCATCATTGATCGCATGACTGTTGGGTGAAAGATTTATTACTATTATTATTATTATTATCTCTTTGAGACAGGGTCTCCCTGTAGCCCAGCTGGCCTGGAACTCCCTATGTAGACCAGGTTGAATGGTGGAAATGATGACAGCACCAGGTCACCACTTTCAGGCTGATGGCCTTCCTAAGTGAGACTTGTGTATGTGCAGGGTAACCCTTTGATATTTGGAGGTACCAGCAGAAGTGTGCACCCAGAGATGCCAAGGCCAGAGCCTACCAAGAGGAGTGCACTGAAAGGTGCAGTTGCTCCCTGGGTTGGCAGAATTTTAAGGAGTCCTAGAAGATAGCCCAAGCCCTATTTTTCTGTAGCCTGACAAAGTATTATAAAATCTTCTGTAGCCTGACAAAGTATTATAAAATCTTGGTCTTGTGAGTTCAAGACCAGCCTGGTCTACATAGTGAGTTCTAGGTCAGCTGGAACTACAGGGAGACCCTGTCTCAAAAAGGCAATAAAATAAATAAATAAATAAATAAATAAATAAAAGAAAAATCATCAGATAAAGTATTAGAGGCCCCGGCTTTGGTGCTTTCTGGTTAGGTATACTGGTGTCACAGAACTTTCTCTTGTAGCCTGAAAAGAGGCCCTACAGTGGGCTCAGGAACTGCTGAGGCAGTATTAAGTCTGCACGATTCTGTCCTATGAACAGGCACACATCTCTCTTCCTATCCCAAGTTGGCTGGAAAGGCCTGAGCCTTACAGGAAAGCCCTCTCTCAGCTCAGACATTACTGCTCTGTTTGGTGCCAGTTGCATTTGTTTGAAGGGTGTCTTTTCCATTCCTTATGGTGGTTACAGCTTGTCACTGAAGGCTTCCACTGTCCCAGTTCCCATTGACCCCACGGTTAAAAACAGTAGACCAGATAGGTACCCTGAATACTGAGGTTTTTGCTAGGGAGGTACTGGAAAAGGAGTGGCTAGTCCTGATACGGATTTAGGACTTGACTTGGTGAGGTACTCTGCTGATTGCTGCCTCATGGGTAAGTGACTGTGGCCGCTACTCCTCATGTCTATCACACTAGCTGGAACCTGGGTAAAAGTCTTCCAAATTCAGATGGTTTGAAAAAACAATGGTGGTCAAACCCATTCCAGCCCAGAAACTTGGGCTGAGCTAAGTCTGCCAGCTGGGTCAGTACTGGCACCCCAGCTTTTGTACTTGGTCTGCTGCTAACACCTAGCAGCTGCTGGCCTGGCTCTGGGTGTTGGGGAAGGATGGCCATGTCCATTCTACTTCCTTCTTCTGGGTGTAAAATGTAACTGGAGCCTGCTGACTCTGCTGTCCCTGCTGCAGATCGAGATGGCCATCCTGAGGTTCCCTTATGAGTCCTGGGGGACCCCGTTCCAGCAGCTGAAGCAGGTAGTGGAGGAGCCATCTCCCCAGCTCCCAGCTGACCAGTTCTCCCCTGAGTTTGTGGACTTCACTAGCCAGTGGTGAGTGTCTGGGCCGTGTCCCCTCCTGCAGCAAGTAAACTCTTGAGCCACATGGTATCAAATGGCGGGGGGTAGGAACAGCTGGAGCATAAGTAAAACCTAACCAAACTGTAGCCCTAGTGGGAGGTTTTAGTATAATCCTCCCAGAAAAGGGTGGATCCAGTAGACCCAAAGAGGGGGAAGATGTGTGTGTGTGTACAAGTAAATAATAATAGGTATCATGGAAGATTAAAATGCATAAAATTTGCTTTTATTGGTATCTTGAAGTTTTTACCAAATTACAGAATGGCGATGGGTAGCCTTCTAAAAATCATGTTTAGGCTTACAGAGGAAATAAGGAAAAGAACAGGTATATAGATATGTTTTCTAACCATAAATAAATAGAACAAGAACTCAGTGACTAAAGGAAAAACCTGTATGGAAATCAAAAGTAAATTCTTCTAAATAACTGTTGATTTATAAAAGAGATTGAGAAGATACTTTTTTGGGAAAAACCAGTGAGAGCTTACCAACATCTGTATGTTGTGGACAAAGGGGTGTTCAGAGGATAAGTCATAGCCACTCAATTGAAAACAGGAAAAACTGGAAGTAGACGAACCCAGTAGACAAGAGTCACTTGGTCAGCTTGATTCCCTTTTGTAAAAAAATTATTTATTACTTCTATGTGTATGAGTATATTGCCTGCATGTATCTAAGTGTGCCTCTGTCATGCAATGCTCTTGGAGATCAGAAGAAGGCATTGGATCCCCTGGAACTGGAGTTACAGATGGTTAGCCACCATGTGGGTGCTGGGAATTGAACCCGGGTACTCTGTAAGAGCAGTCAGTGTTCTTAACTGCTGAGTCATCTCTCCAGCCCAGGTTGACCCCTTTTAAATGGACATTAATAATCCAGAACCAGCCATGAGTGTCTCCTGATTAAGGATAGTCAAGCATGTGGTCCTTTGGCAGAGCATTTCAGGGCTGGTGTCATGGACGTATCCTGGATCACTGTATAGACAACTGGACTCTAAGAGGCAGGGAGGTTGTTACAAGACTGTAGTTTGTATTCATGGATCCCTGTTCACCTTGTGAGACTCCCTGGCAGGCTTGCAAGTCCTTCTCTGAGCCCCAGGAGTATGCTGCCTAATGGGGGTAAGCCCATCCTGTCTAGACATGCTTCCTTTGTGCAAATCTGACTTCACTGCCTTGTTCTTTCACAGCTTAAGGAAGAACCCTGCAGAACGTATGAGCTACCTGGAGCTGATGGTGAGTGTGCATAGGAAGTGCCTACCCTGCTCTTTAGACCAATTAGTGTCTGGGTGGGGCTGCCTAGGAGAGGGTTGCAATCCAGGACTGAGGAGTAGCTCCTCTGCCTGGCCCTTTCATGCACTTAATGTAGTCTCACCCTCATTCTCATGTGTACCTCAGGCCTTGTGGAAGGGTGCACAGTGCTGTGATAGTAGGGCAGAGGAACCACTGTGGCATTAGAGGAGGCTTCCTGGAAGAGATGCCATTTGAACTCAGCCTAGAAAGATAGGTGTGGGTTTTCTGCTGATGAAGGAGGGACAGAGAGGTAGTCTAAACAGAGGGTCTGGTAGGGGCATAGGCCTGGTGCCTGTGAGAAAAGGGAGGGGTGTGTGTGGTAGAAGGCTGCTACAGGTGGGTAAGGCAGAGCCACAAGTTATGGTGGTTATAGAGGGCTTCTGGGGATAGGGATCCTAGAAGGACCAGCAGGAATTGGTATGGGAAGACTACACAGGAACTAAGCAGGCTTGGGAGGAAGGACATACCACTTTGTACCTCCTCCCTGGTAATCATGCTTCTGTTTCCTATAGGAACACCCTTTCTTCACCTTGCACAAAACTAAGAAGACAGACATCACTGCCTTTGTGAAGGAGATCCTTGGAGAGGATTCATAGGGCCTGGTCTGGGACTCCACTGGTCTGCCAGCACCTCAAACGCCTTCTGCTGGGGCTGCTTGCCTACAGCCATAAGCTACTGCCATCCTGGCCCTGGGCATTCCAGGAGGAATTAAGGGAGTTGTTCCTGTCTGGCTCTGCATCTAGCTGTCCCAAGTGCCAAAGAACCAGACCTTAGGGGGCTTCCAGTTAGACCCACATGGGTGCCATCAGTGCCTCTGCCCTTGCTGCTTCCAGGGTCCCAGGTCTCCACCTAAAGGGGAGGCCTGGGTACCCCTGCAGATGCTGCTGCCCCAGGAGCAGGCAGCCAGTGCCTATGTGGACAGGCCATAGCCTGGTACTGTCCTGGATGCCATCCAAGTTGTATATATATTTTTAATCTCAACTGAATGGACTTTGTACACTGTGGCCTGGGGCAGGGGCATTTCTGTCCTGCCTCAGGTGCTGAGGATACACTATGGGGATAAGCCCCGTGAATCCCCTAACACTTGTGGGAGATGTATTGAGCTGCCCAAGGCCTTCACCCAGCACTGGCCAATGACCTCTAAGGGGCACACTGACCTGGCCCCTAGCCACCACCTCTAAGTGGCATCTTTTTGCCTTTTTAAAAATTTGTCTTTGTTGACTTTTGTTTTGTGGGTGTCGCTGTTTTTTTTTTTTTTCCTTCCTTGCATGGTTTGGAGCTGATCACTTCACCCTAGGTACCAGCAGGTTGCCAGCTACCCCTGTGCTCAGGCTGGGGTATATGGCACTGCTCAAGATCTTTGCCCAAGGCCACCAAGGGAGCCATACCAGTTCTCCAAGTATGACTATCTCACAGGATCTACGGGTTTACTTTGGTGGTGTTTTTAAAAAGAGAAAATATATTTTTGTGAAGAAAGGCCTAGCTATCTTAGCCTTTCCCTGGGGTGCTGAACAGGCACTTGGTTGCTGTTTTAATTAAAAAAACAAAACATAACAGGCTGTGTGATGCTGATAAACCTGTTTCTCCTTGGGGAGTTGGCCCTAGGAGGAACACTTACTCTGGGACCATGCCAGGACAGCATGACTAGGGTCTGGGGCTGCCAGACTACCATCCACATGAGGACATAGGCTCTCAGGGTGATATGATGAGGTGACCACCTGCCCCACTACTATCAAAGCCAGCTGATAGCCAGAGGTACAGAGGTGACTTGGCGGGACATGGCGAGCCCCACATTGATTACACTGTACTGTTTGTGTTTATAGATGAAAAAATGTGCCCAGAGAGCCCCCAAAACTTGGTCAAAGCCACACAGCTTGTAAAATGGATGACCTGAGGCCAGGGGCAGGTAGTGGTGCCTGGGACAAGGTTTTGAGAGTGCTGCTCAGTTAAGCCCTCTGCTAGGGGTGTGGTCCTGCAATTCTTGAGCTGCAGACTAGGGCATAGACGCTTCCAGACAGGAATGTGTGTGACATCTTGTACTGATGGATCTTGGAGCCTTCGTTAAGCTCTAAAGGCTTGTTTCCATCCATACACTACCCTGATGGGGTCAAGTCAGGACCTGGTGGCCCCTCCCATCTTGGCAAAAGTAGGCCCAGAAACAAAGTCCCAGAGAGGGCTCCTATTGGCTGGGGAGGCGTCCTGCTCTTCTCAGCCAGAAGAGTGGAATGTGCCTTCAGGCTCAGGTAGACAATGTCCAAGTTTGAGAGTAGGGCCGTGGTGTGCCCGCGAGGGCACAGGACCTACGGGGACCTCTTCCACCACACTCTTCCACAGGCCTCTGCAGTAACTTCCCTGGTACGGCCTTCACAGCTTCACAGAGCTTCCCTTCAGTCACAAGGCTGCTTCTCACCTCATGGAGATAGCGCATCCTCAGATGCCGCCCCAGCTTCCAGTGGTTGGTTCCTCACCATTCCAGAACTCCCAGTCACCAGGACCCTGGAGAGGTCATGGCTAAAAAGAGAGTAGTCCACTTAGCTCAGCGTTAGCTGGGCAGATGTGACCGGCCACTGTATCTCTGCACGAAGAAGGTGCAGATCCCCTCGGTCAACCTTTGTTGACTAAATAGCGAAGGGGGTGGGGAGTTGGGGAAATCTCAGGGCCGGGTGTAGAGATGAGCGCAGGTTGACCAGCTTGGAGAAGGAGCGCTATTGGGCTCGCGCATGCCTACGTCCTTGCAGCACTCTTTAGTCCAGGGCGCGGCCAGGTCGCCTTTCCCTGGCCGCCAGGGGGCAGCAGAGCCCAGATTTAGTTCAGTCTCCCTCTGCTCTGTTGTTCGCACCGAGTGTGGCACCCTGCCCCAGGTATCGCAGCTGAAGAAGGGTCCTCTGGCTCTGCGGGTCCTGGTGGTGCGCAGTCCTCTACATCTGGCAAAAACACGCTTCCAGAGCTCGGCTCGCTTTACAAAACGCACAGCGGAAGCAGATAATAGTTTGCAAACCCCTGTAGGGCTCCAGAGCACTTTATTATTTATCAAGAACTTCACAGTTTGCCTAAACCTGGCTAGATGAGACAGCACTTAACAGTTAACATACTCCTCTCCACAGTAGTGCAAATATCCACAGTTCCAGTTCCCTCACTATTTAGAGACCTTTAGCCCAGGCATCCACCTGGCAGGTGGTTTTAATATTGTCAAAGAATGGCCCACGGCCATAGTGAAGGTCATAGAGGGCTCTCTGCCCCGTGGCAAGTCCCTCTCATCCAGGTTCCTAGGTCCTGAGGCAGGGTCCAGGAGCCTAGGAAGCTATCAGGGCCAGGCAGAAGCCCGTTGTCTCTGTTTCCCATCATGCAGCGGGCAGGGACAGCCATGTCCAGGCTGGGATTGATGTGGATTGATATGGACACAGGCCTTCTGTCTCAAGCACACCACAAAGGCTATCAGGCAGCTTTAACCCTACAGCAGATAGGTCTGTTCCAGAACTGTCTCCCAAGACACGCCCCTGCAGGCATCCTCTGGTTAAACATCAACTCAGCCTCTCCTTCCTCAGAGCTGTGCAGTGGCTCAAAGCTTTCTTGGGATGGTAAATACTGATTCTTAACTTGACATCTAGAATTACCTAGGAGACAAACCTCTGGGCATGTCTGTGAGGGAGTTTCTAGATTAGGTTACTAGAGGTGGGAAGAACCACCCTAAATGTGGGTGACCAGTCAGTCTATAGAGTGGGGTCCTGGACTGAGCAAAAATAAAGTGGAAAACCATTATCTCCCTCTGCCTCCTGACTGTGGATGCAGTGTGACCAGATGCCTCAAGCTCCTGCCACCACAACTTCCCCACCATTGATGGACTGTACCCTCCAACTGAGTTGGGGTCTACTTTTAGCCCCAATTGGCCTGGAATATACAATATAGACCAGGCTGGACTTGAACTCACAGAGATCTGCCTGCCTCTGCCTCCTGAGGGCTGGAATTAAAGGTGTGTATCACCATGCCTGGCTTACTCCTTACTTTAAAAAAAATTATTTTTATTGATTATTTTTTGTGTGTGTGTGTATGCGTGTATTGTCTGCATGTATGTAAGTGCATACTTGTTATACAATGCCTGTGGAAGTCAGAAGAGGGCATTGGAACCCCTAGAACTGGAGTTACAGATGGTTGTTAGCCACCGTGTGGATGTTGGGAACCGAACCTGGGTCCTCTGTAAGAACAGCCTCTTAACCAGTGAGTCATCTCTCCAGCCCCACTCCTTGAGAACTGTGCTAAAGTCTGTGTGCCCTCGTGTTGGAGTCAGCCCTACCACCATTTACCTCCTATTGGGTCTCTCTGTGCACACATGGGGGTCTCTCAGCACACTCAGGGTGGTCCAGTTCTGCCCCGGAGGCTGGGGCTGGGAGAGGCCTTTTGCTTACCTGGTCAGGTGGTTGTCAGCCCCTCTCCCTTCCAGTCGTGAAACTTGCATGGGCAGCCAGCAACTCCCTCTCTGTCTCAAGCTGTTTTCCTGGCTTTCTGGGCAGGGATGTGCCTGGGCAGCAGGGCCAGAGTTGCTCCATCTCCCAGAAGGGAGGTAAGAGTGGGTATCCAAGATTCTCCCCAGCCACTACCACCACCACCATGAAGACCTGGGCATCTGCTTTTACTTCTGCCCCACCAAGGTGGTCACTCTATGAGGACAGACTTCTCAGAGGGACTTGGTTTATCTTCTGACCCTGTTCTGCTTCCTGAGGTCTGCAGCATTTGGGCTCTGACATGCTAAGTGATGGTTTCTCTATCAATTGGAAGCTCATGGAGCGTATGCACATACAGTCACTGTCTTATGTTCAGTAGAGCCCCTTCATCTTCATGTCTGGGCAGCTGTCAGCAGGGCCCTCCAGGAGCTCACAGAGGCACTACCAGGTTCTGACTCTGCCTGAAGTCACTCAAAGAGGAGAGAACCAGAGAGGACCAAGAACTCAGATGTCTTGTGCCATCCAAAGTAGGCCACCTGCCAACTCAGGTTAGCTGCAGCCACCCCTCTGATATGGCAGGAGTCACAGGCTGCCATATTCCTGCTAGGGACTGACAGTATGGGGGACTTGGTTTGGGAGAGGCTTGGGAGATATAGTGGTAGCTGCAGTCTTTGATTGGGGATACACAGTTCTGTGCATCCAAGAATTTCTTCCCTTTTCTAGCTCCTAAAACGTCCATGGATCTCTATTGCCCATGGCACCCAAGAAAAAGGAAAGCCAGTGTGAAATCACTACAGCAGGGTTTTATCTGTGTTCTCGGCAGGGCTTGGACTCATGGTAACTGTTATCTGAGCACCTGCTGTACAGCAGGTGGCATTCCAGCCCTAGCACCCAGAGTTCTCAGAGTCCTGGGCTTGTACCTCAGCCTTGACTGTTCTACCTTTTTGTTAGCACTCCCTAGTGAGAAACATCTAGTTATGTTAAATTAATGTAATCATTAAAACTAATAAAGCTCAGTTACAATTCAGTCATTCTATTTGATTAACTGAATTATTTAAATTGAATTTAAAAGCTCCCAGGTGGGAGAGCACTTAGTGGCAGTAAGAGGTTGAAGGGTGTTGATGGCACTGGGTCCTGAAGACCTATCCAGAGATTAGACTTGCTTTCCAAGCTATGAGGAAGGGCTTTGGAGCAGGACACAGATATGACGGGATTGCTCTGTGCTATGTCCCCATGTCGGCCAGGTGACACCTTTTTGCCGTCAGAGCTCTGCTCTGGACCCTTCACGCTCCATCCCCAGTATCGACACTCTGTGTGGACCTTGATGTCCTAGCACCTTTCTGAGATTCCACTTCCTCTGAGTCCGAGGCTCCTAATACTGACCTCACAGGACTGTGGTGCTTTCAGCAACATCTTTCAAAGTGTGAAGACCCATTGAGGGCAGCCACACACTGGGTGCTAAACTCACGTGCTTGTCCCTTCAGTCCATGTTCAGACCCTAGTTCACTGTCTTTCCCATGGCTGCCTCTAACTAAAGCCTCTTGTGTTGAAGCCAGGCTTGCCCCTTGAGCCTTTGCTCTCAGTGTCTGCCCTAGGATTGAGCACTCACAGGCCATTTAGGCAGATGGGACAGGCCTATAGCTCTCTGGGAACAAGGGCAGACCCTGACCAGCTCCCCAGACCCTCTGCTGGGGCTCACTGGGCCTAAAGTTAACCTTTGGTGAATTGCCATGTCTCTCAGGATTCAGTTTTGTTTGTGGAGGGGCCCTGTGCTGCCTTGAGGGTGGCCTTAGCTGAGGAAGTGACTCCCTAAGGCCCAGGCCCAGGATCACTTATGCCATAGCTCCTTCTATCACCTCTCATCTGACCTTCCTGCCAGGACTAGCCTTCAAGGTCCCTGGCTGTAAGCAGAGGTGACTATTCAGCCAAAGGCAAAGAGGCTGAATGAACAGTAGAACTTCCGGAGTGGGCTTCAGAACTTCCAGGGACCCTATTGGAGGCTTCGTTCCAGATCTGAACTCCCAGGCAGGAGTCTGGTCCCTTCAGTTCCTGCAGTGGGAAACAGGATATTATCCACACAGGACCACACATGCCCAAGCAGGGTTTGGATGCAGG